TTGTTGTTATGACGTGAGGATGTGCTATTGACATTTGGGCCAGAATGGCAGATAATACATACACAAAATACACATATGTGTGTATAAAAGACCATGTTTTTTTTCAGCACTATTATTTAACCAACATCTAAGTGTCTTACCTCTTGTGCTTCATGGGCTATTAACTGGTCCATTAACAGTCTCCTCCGTCTTTTCTCTCTTTGTTCTCGTGCAAAAGCGTCTTCCTCGAGGCGCTTTTGGATTTTTTTAATGTAGTCATCATCAGAGTAAGTGTTTAATAAATCAGTAGTTGTCCAGCCTGCTGTATCTAAAGAAGTCTTGGGTGCACTAAGGACAATAGTTTTTATTTTAGATTGAAAAATAACGTGGTCACAGGCCACTACTTGTGACCATGGAGGAAGAACTCAGGAGAAGGCTCCCCTGAGGCTCTGTTAACTTATCAATACAAGCACTAAGGTGAATATTAGCACTTCAGTGTTATACCCATAGCTTATCAATAGATTCCATTTGCCTCACCTCATTCGAGGTCCTTAGCATAGCCTTCTTTCTAGGCTTATCACTAACTTGTTCTTTCACTTCTCATGATATCCACTCTATGCAGAGGCTCTGAATGTCTCTCCTTTTTCCTGCTGGCTCTCATGTTTTGAGTCAACAGTAGAATAATATTGATAACCCAAGAGTCAGGGAAGGCATATCTCTACAAGAGTCACTCAGGTATACTAATGTCATGACACAGAGTATTTCCATGGATGGTTCCACCCACTATCACTCTCTCATTTATGCAAATACACGCTGCTCTATGAACTCCCAAAGACCTCTGACTGGTTAGGGCAGTGACCCAGCTATTACTGGAAGCTCAGCAGTTGAAAGTTGACTCGCTCATCATGCCACACTCATAAGCACAGGTCTGACGCTACCTCTTGCCTGAGTCCTGGAAACTCAAGGTGAGAAGACCCACCCCAGGGCTTTTGTCCTACCTCATGTACAAAATTAAAGGATCAAGAAAAGCCAGTGGTCTTACCAACACAAAGCAAACACACTCAATTCTGTGAGACAGATGGTGGCTTAGATGAGAATTTATAGATTCATTCAAAAGTTATTAAAAGTAAGATATATTTTTATATCTATAAGGATCAAATAATTCTCACCAGCATACTTCTTTAAAACAAACAGAATGTAACACAATGGCACAAGATATATCATAATGTGACTTGCCAAGAAGTAATAGATTTTAGTACTATGAACAATTATTGTTTTTAATGTTATAAGTTATTACTGTATTTGTTTTAAAATACAACTTATAATCCTACTTAAAAGACAAGGATATGTTATTATGGTATGTAGGGACTAAAGAGTCATCAATTCTCATATAGAAGGAAATACTCTTGTTAAAGCATAGTTAATTTATATTTAATGGTATAAAAATCGCATGCTTATAGTACAGATTGTATTATATTATAGTGCATATTTTATACAACTATATGTGTATATATAGTAGTTTGCTGCTTCCAGCTGAACTCTGAGCTCATAAGAAAAATGTCCTATTTTACTCTCTTTGTACTTGTGCCTTGCATGCCTGACATGTAGTTGATGTCTGCTAAATTTCTGCTAAATTTCAAATGACATGCTAAGAAGCACTACATAAGTATAACATAATTTTTAAGATCACACGCTAAAATTCTGGTTATTTTATCAGCAGGGGCTCCACCTTCAGTTGTATTTTGTCACTGATAGTCATTGAGCAGAACTTGTGTAGCTATCAAAGCCTCAGCAATTCAAAGTTTAACCCTATTTATTAAGATTTAGTATAATTATTTATGAAAATTATGTGGCATAACTTTTTCAGATCATCAAAGTTCTTATTATATTTTTACATAAATGAGTTGTTTAAAAGAGTTTGCACTGGATTAAGCATGGGTTAGTAGCTCTTTTAAAACTTATTTATGCTGCTAATAATATACCTAACATATTGCTCCTCTTTTATTTGTCAGTCTGTCTATCCATCCCTCCATTCACCTGCCCATCTGCTGTCTTATTACAATAAAGGTCTGAATGACACCACATAATATTTTGTTAAATGAATATTTATTTTACTAGATGTGGATTTTTTGAGGGCAATAATTATGGTTTCTTTGTATCTGTTTGCTTGCTAGCCTCCACAGAGTTAATAATTGTATGTGTATAAATTATTAGTAATAGGAACCTTGGCCAAATTGGTTAAAAAAAAAGAAAAGAAAAGAAAAGAAAGCAGTTGGTCAGAAGAGCCTAATGGAAATCTACGAATACAAATGTCAAACTGCAGCAGCCAACAACCTCAGCTAAAAAAACAAATAGTAGATAGCATTTATTCTTTATCTTAAAAAATAAAAAGAAATTGCACATTGGGGAAAAAGTAGATATGGGAGGTCTTGTGTTGTTCACACTGAAACATCATTTTATTCTTCCACAAAAGAGAAAAGATGGATTTTGAGGTGACATCCTTAAGGAATTGTTTCAGGAGCAGGCTGTAAAGAGGCTGCTATAGAAATTGTTCCTTAGAGTCGCCTATGAGAGGGTTTTAGTGCCTTCTGGCATCAAGTAATATGACATTTCTCAACAAGCCCGGAACACGCTTGATTCTAAGTTAAGAATTCAGAATGAACCCAAATTAGTGATTGCCAAAGGAGCTTAAGAAGGGCCATATTGTACCATAGCCTTTGTTTTCTTTAAAAGTTTGCTCTAGACCAGTGCTTCCGAACATTTTTCATTTTAGGGCCATTAGAGGGATTTGCAGTCTCAGATGAGGCTGATCATAGCCAGAGGTGACTGGTCCAGGGACTCTTACTGCCCCAGGCTGTGTTCTGCTGCTCTGAGAAGGGAGGGTGTCAATGTCACATGGTCCCCCAGTGGGAAATTTCTGGCAGAATCAAAAGAATCCTTCTACAGAGAAAGGACCTGTGATACACACTGCTATTTCCCTCCCTTTTTCCTCCAAACAGAGCCCGAATTTTATTCAGAGAAACAATGTACCTAGCTAAAGACAACATTACCCAGCCTCCCATTCTGCTGTGCATGGCCATGTGACTGAATTCTGGCCAATAAGATGTAAGCAGAAATGTTACATGGGACTTGTGGAAAGGCTCTTAAAAGGAGCTACAGAGGGTGCCAAAAAATGTACACACATTTTAAGAAAGGAAAAAACTGTATAAAAATTGTAATACTCAAGAGATATTGATAACAAAAAATGAATACAAGTCACGTGTATACATTTTTTTGGC